TTCTCTTCTGCTCCCTCCCCCCCCCCCCTCCTCCTCTCCCCCTCGGTTTTGCATTGGTGTGCAGTCATGCGGAGAGTTTTGGCCATAAAGACCTACTGACGTCAACGGGAAATGAGGAATGGCAAGAAAATGGCTGCTGCCCAAAAAAAACAGACAAAAATTCAGAATGGCCAGGAGAGGAACAGCGCACAATTGGCGAGGGGAGCAGGTACATCTCTCCTTCAGGGCATGGTTCCTTTTTTTTCTCATAGTTGCATATCCTGTGGTTCCCATTGCCCTAATAGTATGACTTTTCAGCCCCATGGCCAATCAATTTCTGTCAGTGTTCTCCACACACTGTCCCATTTTCTCCATAATAATATTGTTCCGGGACATTGGATGAATATATGCTCAATTGTTTCTCTGATTTTCTTGTTGGGGAAAACAGATAGACATGCTTTACACCATGGAAGCAACAAACCTCTTTGCTCTAGATTGGTACGATTGATAAGCCAATCATTCGTTGGAAGACATCGATGAATTATTTGCCATTGTAAAGATGAAAACTTAGCAGGCCGTTTTTTTATTTGATTAAAGAATTTTATATTTCTTATACTTTGTATGTCTATGTTCAAATGCTTGGACCATCGGTCCCTGACTATAGATGTCACATCTACCCTAAGCCTAAGCAGACGGTATGCTGCCTTAACTGCTAGAGATTGTAGAGTACGTGGTTTACTTCTTGTACCTGTCTGCCATACCCATTCATCTGGATCAAAAGGTAATTCTGTAACAGGGCATTTTGGCTGAAAGGCTCTCCATCCAGTGGTTGCTGAGATAAAAATAACTCTGATTCTAAACATTTCATTGAATGGAAAGAACTCAACCTGATTATCTGGTGTTAAAATGAGTAGATGATTTGTTGTTATTTTGAATAAAGCTACTAGAGCTCCTTCCTCAAGTAAACTCATGATTTGCCCAACCTTCCAATCTTGTGGATCTTGTGTAATTGTAACAAAATCACCTTTTTGAAACTTTACACAATTTCTCAATTCTCTGACCCATGTCAAAGGGATGAAACTTGTTATGCGGTCCAAATTCTAGTCCAATTTGTGGGCATAAGTAATTGTTTCTTTGAGTTGATCTGGATTTTTCCATCTTCTCCTTTGTAAATCCCAAATGTCTGTAACCCGTATGACCCCTTTCTTTACCCATTGGGACCAGGGAGGAGTAGAGCTATTATATACACAGCTATTAACATCTGTAATCCATCTGTTACCAAATAGAGGTTGCCTCAATATTTCCTCAAAGCGTGTGGGTTTAGGTTTGTTGGGTAATGGTAATTTCCTCCATGCTTTCAAAAGAGACACCCATAGAGTATCTAGGATAAGATCTCTACGTGTAGCACCTCTTTCCCGATCATTTCTCAAATGTGCGGAAGGACGAGGGATATGCCAAAATAGGTTTTTCTATCCAAGTAAGATCCACTGAAGCGTGATGTCTCTTGTGCCAATTTTCTGATTTGTTGTAGGGCTAGAGGTTGCCACAGCTTGTCTATACCAAAGATGAGTTCAATTATCCACTGAAGGGACAAAGCTTAACATTGTAGGGTGGGGTCCAAAACACCTAATCCTCCTCTGGACTTTGGTTGGATAAGGGTAGACCATGCCACTCTAGGAATTACCTTTTGAAGCTCATGATCTCCTTTCCAGAGGAATGTCGTTACTTGTTTTAGGAGATGTTTGATTTCTGGTTTGCCAATTGCCCAAATTGCTGATTTGTACCAAATTGATGCGAACACCACATTATTTATAACCAGTGCCCTCCCTAGAAGAGAAGTATGCTGATTCAAGGTATTCTACCACACCATTCAGGATTTCGATCACGTGTGGCATCGAGTGACTCAGTACGGCCGTCGAATAGATCGGATCTCGACGGCCTGGTAGTTTCTGAGTGGGGACTGTAAAGATGCCCACCTCCCGTCCAATGAGATGCGTCAAAAAAAAAAAATAATAAGTTGGACTAACTTGGACATGATAGCTCGTGGCTTTGCGTGGGCGGGAAGTCAGGATTTTATGGGCACCAAAGGGGGTGGGTTGATTTCCAGCCGTCGTTTCTTTTTTTTTTTGGCTCTAGGAAATAGAACTTGAAATGTGAAATTCGAATATTGTGGTGCATCTGACAGGAACGTTTCCGCGTCTGTCGGATGGCCTGCTAAAGGCATCATGAGATACACCGCGTGGAATGTTTCCCAAAACCCGTTACTTGTTCATCCTCGTGAATGTGTTGGTGGACACATTTTATTGCCACGGTACATCACTATGAAGACTTACATAAAGGAGATCGTACCAACCCATGAATTCGGGTGCACAGCTGTTCTTCATAGTTTTATGTGCTATTTCAATTCATTTTAAATCAGAAAACGATCCATTCATGCAAATAAAAAATCACTTTGTATTTTCCAAAAACCATAAAACTGTGTCACACGTCGTAGAATACTTCGCTAGTGGGTCCAGGCCCCAGTGAATGAATGAACTAATAACTGAATAAGCTTAAAAAAAAAAAGAAAAAAAAAGAAAGATACTTGAATTTGTGCATGCTCGGTAAGAATGGTGGCTGGCTAGCGGATTCCCTGTGGTCTCCGTATCTTCTGCCCATCTCTCAGATCGACATACATCCCGCCACCAACCATGTGGCCACTGAGGTGGCTCCGTGGGGAGGGAGGGGGTGGGGGGAGGGAGGGAGGGATTGTAACGAAGCGAGGCTCAAGAAATTCACCCAGGCCAGGAGTAGTAATGTCTGCCACAAATTCATCAGATCGCTAGCCAGAGGTGCCACGTTGACATTTATAATTGGGCTGTTTTTTTTTTTTTTTTTTTTTTTTTTTTTTTTTTTTTTTTCCAATGTGATCAGAACAGACACTACACTTTGATCAAAGGCCGAGAAAGGGCTTTATTTTTTCTTTTTTTTTTTGAGATTTTTTCTTTTTTCTTTTTTCAACTTCTGTGGCCAACCTGTTGCTCTCTTGACTCAGAATGGGACAACTACTCTTAACCAGCTTTTTGTTTTTGTTTTTTTTTCGTAAACTTTTTTTCCTTCAAAGTTTAAACCACCAGTCTGTGTTACCAACTGGGCCGCCCGGGTCACCTTGGACGGCAGGCATGATCATTTTCTTTACCAACCCCATGAGTTAAAAGTTAAGGCCATAACGCCCTCCCCTCCCCGCCAACTTTGTACTCGAGTATTCCTACTCAATCTATCACAGGGAGTGTTGAACGACCTCCTGGCGGGGCCCGCTAGGCAAAGAAGGGCTAACCTATGACAGACCAGGGCCTCCTACCGTTAGACGCCCGCCGTAGCAGAGTCATGTCATCTGTGTATGTATATATTGTGTATACCCTTAGATGCCGTCCCTAGCCGAGTCGTGTGATCTGTACGTATATTATGTGTATGGTGCTCTCTTTGTATGTAGTCTGTAGGTTATGCAGGCTACAGACACTTTTAGTACTGTTTTTTATAGTGTAGTGGACACACCATTCAGGCTGCAGCCTGGTGTAACCTGAATCCGTAGGGTATGACCTGCCAGTGAGCTCTGTATGTAGCCGTGTAGCCTACACTGACCTACAGTCTTCACCCAACTAGAACGCCCATATGCATTGTAAACGAATACAGCGCATAGCGTGCGTTCTATAATCTTCTATTCGAATATGCAACACATATGCGCTCTATTCAAATAGCCCTAAATTTTGAAAATACAACGCATGTGTTCTATAAATCTATTCGATTTTTTTCAAATTTGAAAACTCGAACACAACGCATATGTGGTATGTTCGGGGGAAGAAGGTAGGGGTGAAGTTTGTGATATCCCCAATTTATCCGCTGGGCTTGGCAGGGGGGACACGTCTGTTGGGTGTCATGCTGTAAGACCAACCAGCTTTCGAAAGAGAGGTCAGGCCTAACCGGAATCGAACCCACAACCTTCTGCTTGCACCACTGGGCGGCTGGACCTCCAGCCAACTGAGTTATCACCTAATGCATGGTCTGGCAAGCACCCCTATAGCCATTCCAGGGGCTGTACTCCAGTTCGGATGGCAGGCAGGAACGGGTCCGTACCGGAAACCAAGGTTAAAACCCCAGTTACTGGGACTTAGCCCCTGGGGCCGTCTCGAGTTCGCTATCAGGGAACTGTCTGAAAACTTGAAATACAGACCCAACTTACTCAAGCTTTTTTTTTTCTTTTATTTTCTTAAAAAGAAAAAAGGGGGCGATGAACCTCCAAGGCTTGCAAAGTGAACTTTTTTTTTTTCCCCTGATGGACCACGGATTAGATATTAAACTTAATTAAAGTTAATTAAACTCAAAATTATTTTTTTTGGGGGGGGAGTGTTGGGGTGTGAATGTGTTGTGGAAACTGGGCCCAGTTTGAGGCATGCAGGGAACGAGGAGGGAAAGGATAAAGAAGGAGATGACAAAAGCCAAAAAAAAGGACAGGAGGACGAGAAGGACGAGGCTGGAGATGGAGATAAGGAGGAAGAGGAAGAGGAAGAAGAAGAAGAAGAATACCAGTTGGCTTCCGATGAGCTAGAAGCTGCTATGGAGCAAGAGTGGCAGGAAGTCTACAGCCAATTGGCGGCAGCAAGGAACGTTAAAGTGAGTTTTTTCTTTTTTTTCTACTTTTTCAAATTTAGAATTTAAAGAGTGTGTCCTTCGGGACATCCGTTAAAATTGGAACGATACAGAAGATTAGCAAGGCCCCTGTGCAAGGATGACAAAAAAAAAAAAAAAAAAAAAAAAAAAAAAGTGAAATGCCCCAGCCGCAGCGATCGCATGTGGCATGAGGGACAGAAAGATGGGAAATGCATTCAGAATTTCAGATGCAAAAGGGCATAAGGCAAAAAGAATCAGGGAAGGCGAACACATCACACAAATGAACGAAAAACAAAGAAATGGGCCGGAAAGGGAGAACAGGAAACCAATGACCCCCTATGGCCAAACTCTGGCGCGAGATGGGCCCCGATCGCCTTCCCCCCCCCCCC